GTGGTGCATGCCAACAGGTTTTGGCGTTATCACGGTCCAGGACATTTCAGTTGGGACGAAGTGGAAAACAGAACAAATGACGCTGCTGAAGACGTGCCACCTGAAGATACCACCATCGAAGAAGAAACTCTACTCAGTTTTGAGAAGGGAAACGGTGAAGCTCTTGGTGAAGTTACTACCACTGATGTGACTGTTACCGATGATTGGACATTTACTGATGAAGCGGATGAGCCCCACATGAAGCAAAAGCCAACGAGACGGAGACCAGTACGGAAGAAGATACGTCCCGTAAAATTAAGAGACTTTGTTGAATTGTAATTTTGTGTTTGTAATTCTGTACATTTTAATTAAGTTATTGTTATTGGTTTATTGTATGTGGTTATTGTTCGGGACGAACAATACTAGGGAGGGGGCAGTGTTGCGTCATCGAGTCACATGACTACTGTGACGCAACGTTTCTAGAACTATCGTGTACTTTGGCGAATGTTCTAGTTCTTACTAGATATAGGGTGGGCTGGTATATAAAAGAGGGGAATGTAATGTCTGGGTAGATAGTGAGTAATTGAACTGCAGTCAGAGAGCACGAGAGACGTTACAGCGTTTGTTTAGCGCGATTGTTGAAGTTGAGTGTATCGGTAAAGTTATATTCGGAAAGAATAAACCAGTTTTATTAAGCAAATACTTGTGTCGCTAAAGTTTCGTCGAAACGAAGTAACGGGAAGTTAATTAACAAACGGAGACGTAACAGTATTATTAAAAATCGTTAGGCTTGCTTACTCACTGTGAAATCATTGGAACTCCTGTCTGGTTCTGTTCCTATTATTGGTGACATTTTATCATAATGAAATGATCTTCTTATGCGGAAAGAATTTCTACAGAGAAAAGAAACCCCTCTTTTAATTAACATTTTGTTATTTAATAAAATGAACAATTTATTATTTTTGAAGGGCACAACCACACTCCCCCTTTACAATTTTATATTCCTCTTCACGTTTCTTCAAAGACTTTTAGCGGCACAGAGTGTCAGAAACGTACAACATTTAAATCATAATTTTATATATCTAATTTTAAATATCAAATATTATTTCAAGTATTGATATTGAAAAACACAAGAATGTGGAATTAATACAATACTGAAGTCGCTGAAAATATCTTTACTTCAACATAATTTATTCTGGGTAAAAGAAAAAAATGGACTGAGGAACAGATGAAACTTAGTTGAATGGACGGCATGTTGTAGAAACAGAAGTGTAGAGGACGACATTTTGAAAATCTTTCGTCTGCAACGTCGAAACATGTAGAGTCAACTTTTTATTGGTCATATATTGGCCTTAATTAAAATGTTTTTAATTGCATACCTATTTAAACGTTGTGTGGTATTTATTATTTTACCATTATACATAAGTGCCAAGAAATAATACTGAAACAAAAATGTTTTAGACTAGGGAACACAAATATAAATTTTGGCAGGATAGGAGACATCATCAGCCTGGACAGTTTTATTTTTCGAACAGGGTGGTTGGTCTTTGGAATTGGTTACATTCGGTTGTTGTGGAGTCAGTAGATTTGAGTGAGTTTAAGAGAAAGCTTGATAAGTATATGAATGATAAGAGCTGGCTTTAAGTCTTTTTAAACTTATTTATTAATAGTTTTAGTTTAGTTTTGAGGATGGGACAGTCGAGATGGACCAATAGGTCTCTTGTTGTCCCAAAACATTATGTTATGTTATTCAACACAGTTTTCAAACACAATTACATTAATAACAAACGAATCATCAAAATAAATTTAAAGCACAGTCTATGATTCGATTCTATTGAGTCATACCGGTTTCAGATAATTCTAGCCCTGATCAGTAACCCTGAATAAGGTCAAATTAAAAAAAAAAACAGTACTGGATTTTTCGTACTGATGAAGGAAATGAAAGATTGGGCTTCATATTTATTTTCAATATTGTAAACAATCTTGCTGTAGAATAATTCAAAATACTAGATAATACTATATAAATGTAGATTCACCCTGGTGAGTGCATGACAACTAAAAACATTGTATACGAATCATCAAAGTTTGCATATACAAAGCAGTCAAATGTACAGAAAACATCTTGTTTAATATTTCAAAGATAAGACTTCAAAAACTCTCAATAATTTCCTCTTACCTCATGTGTATAAGTTATCACAAAAACTCTCCTTCTTCAACACACAAGCCCATTTGGTCATGCCAAATAAAGAAAATGCTTTATTCCTTCAAAAAACAAAAAGTCAGATTAAAACAGTTCCATTTAGATTTGAGATTGTAGCTCACATATATGGTAAATAGAGGGTAAACTTGCTTCCCCCAAATAACGGAATTATGCTAAAGCCATGTTCATACATATGCCTGTTTAGCTGTGAAGTATGCTATATTGATACACACACACACACATATATATATATCAAGTTAAGTACAGCCAAAATACCTCTGTTAACTTAATTTTCACACAAACGTGAAAAGCAAATGAAAGACGTGAGAGAATAATGCGAGCACTGAGAGCATTGCCATGGCAGCAACTTACGTGCTACTTCCTATTAAAATGAAAATATTCGCAAATTATAATTTTTTATCATAACGTTGAAATATAGATAAAAGAACACATTAAATAATAGAACACTTAGCTTCCTAAACATAACCAGTTAGTGTCACTACTTAGCAACGTATTTCAATAAAAATTTGGCATATCTTTATTATAACACTATTAACGATGTAAAGTCCAACTATTGTTTATTAACCAATTAAAAAAAGAGAAGAAAATCAATACAATCAGGACTTAGTTCCAAAAGTGACCATTGTAGTGAGTATAAGACGACTAAAAACAACTAACATGAACCATCAGAATCCACATGTACAACACAGTTAATTATATGAACAACACGTTATACAAGAAGTTGTTCTAAAGATTAGTTTTAAAACTACCTCCCATCATTTTACCCATACGCCACGTGCATAAAGTATCCCAGATTCAAACATGTGTTCAAGGTTTTTTAGTTGTTTTGTTAGGTGAGTTGCAGATGTTATTTTTATGTGATCTGTTTGTTAAACCTCGGGAAATGCAGAGTTTTGTAATTATGGAGTGATTTGCATTGTAGTTGTAGAAATTGTTGTTGGGTTTTTGACTTATTTTCTATAAATTCTTGTTACTGACTTTGTTGTTAATTCGTCGGAAGTCATTGATATTTGATATCAAACTCATTCCAATTACACTGTCGCTGTCAAAACATAGGTTGTTTATAATTATTCACAGCTATTCAAGAAAATT